CGTGATAAAAATGTTACCGGAAAATGTTTCTAACAAAACATATTTTTTTAAAGATATCTTTTATCGAGATTGTGTAATATTGAATTTTCAGCTGTGTATTAATAACATGCAGTGCCATAAGAAAGTTTGATAGGATTTATGCGAAATTTTTTATTCCTATTTCTGGGCAGCACTGCTAAAATATTTATAAGAAATAACATATATAAAAAATATGTATATATAATAATTATAATAATACTAATAATAATTAATATTAATATATTGATATTATTATAATATTGTTATGGAGCAGAAATTCGAATATCTTGGATAAAAATACAGATAAACATTTTTTTACTGTTGCCCATATAGGAGTTAAGTATATTACATATTTTTCTAAAGAGATAACGGATAATAATTATGCGCACATATATACATATTGTTTCCGTTCTCTAGTCTAGTAGTTTTATTTGGAACATTTATTTCTATTACTAACAATGTAGTTAACCCCAATCACTTTTAAGAAAATTTTGAGTTTGCAGCTTCAAATCTTTATGAAATAAGGAAGCGCTTTTGGTGTTAATAAACTGTATATTCTTTTTTTTATTACTATAGACTATAATTACTTAAACTTAATTGTCATTGAATGTTGGGTGTTCAAGTTGGCAAAGCAGCTAGGTTGCTCGCTGAGTAAATATTGCTAACAAATAGCGACATATTGTTGGATACTTGAACAAAGTAATATAAATTATAGTTTGTATAGCAACAAATTATAAGCTAAAAAGTAATAGTACATTTCTGTTAACAGACTTTTATTCTGATATATTTTATACTTTGCTATCTGCTTTGCTAGCTTGAGCACACTCATTGTTAATTAATCAGAGAGAGAATGTTTGTATTTTTTAAGAGAAGATTGTACATAATTCCAGGTAAAATCTGACAATTCTGATAACCGTTTGCATTTTGTACGATTAGATATTACAACCTTACAAGCGTTCTGTTTAATGATAACTATATATGCATTAATTTGTAAGCTGTTAACATGCGATGTACGTGTGTTTGTTTCTGTAATATTAATATCCTTTATATCATATTGCTGTTTCCCACTGTAAACATTTTCTTTTCTCTTATGACAAAATAAACCGATTTTGTGTTTATATTTTTTGTGATCTTTCTGATATATCTATAAGTGTCTTCCAACAAGAAACACGTGACATGACAGTGCAGCATTACATCCTTATTGTTCGCCAATGTTAAACAAGGATAAAATGATCACTGTGTTGTACCGAGTTGTTTGTTGGAAGGCATCGCATGGTTGTCACTATTTTATAATAAATAGCGAAAGTACACATCTTATATTTTTATATTTTCCCGCTTGATTCGCAACTTTTTTTTTATAAATCGATCACGTTAATCGACCAAGTCCATAAGCGTGTCCTTTTTAACTGAACTTCTTGCACGATTCATCTTTTTCCTTTTTTCTCCACGTTGAAAAGAAAAAGAGGAAAGATAAACCGTGTAAGAACTAGAGCAATAAAAGAATGAAACAAACTAGAACAGACCTACAAGTTAAAAAGAACAGACCTCGTAAGTTTGCGATGAACTGATGAGTCCGCGTGATGTCGTGATCTCTTTGTGAGAGCGCCTTAAGGATACGTCGCATGAAGATCGGTCGTGTGCTTTTACGAATTACGGATAAGCCTGTAGAGACCAAGAGACGTTGAAGGTGTGCTAAGTGTGGTACCTGAAGATACGAGGAAACGAGAATTCGTGAGGATGGCAGCGATCAGTTTATTGAATCCGAAGGCTGAGTTCGCCCGGGCGGCGCAGGCTTTGGCAGTGAACATTTCCGCCGCGAAGGGCATTCAGGATGTAATGAGGACCAACTTGGGGCCCAAGGGAACCATGAAAATGTATGTATCCACGATGTATGTTCACGCGGTAATTTTGCCGCTTCATCGTAGCCACCGCTCACTCTGATTCTTCGCGTACGTCATGAAAATATCTCGAAACTCTTTGACTCCGAATGCATTGCAACGATTTTTATTCGTCAGAAATTCGTAGAACGTCGCGGTATTCCGACATCGCATTATTCTCCTTATTAGGAAATGACTTACGAATTGCCGGAGAGAAGAGGGGTTGATGTTCCACGGATGTTGCTTCTCGATGTAGTTTTTTCTTATTTATCATATCAACTGTTTCTTTTCTTTTATTGATATTTTCAATATAACTTTTACATTAAGAAAACACTAATCGAATGACGTAATCTTAATTAAAAATCTAGTCGTAATATTTATAATAAGTAGCATGCTAGTTTTTAATCATAAATTTCCAGGTTGGTTTCTGGAGCCGGAGATATAAAGATTACCAAGGATGGCAATGTGCTCCTTCATGAAATGCAAATTCAACACCCTACAGCATCCCTGATAGCAAGAGCGTCCACCGCTCAGGATGATATGACTGGCGATGGCACGACCAGTACTGTGCTGGTCATCGGTGAACTCTTGAAACAAGCTGATTTGTATATAGCAGAAGGACTGCATCCTAGAATGCTCACAGATGGTTTTGACTTGGCTCGTGCTAAGGCATTAGAAATCTTAGACTCGATGAAAATTGCAATTGAGCCTAATAAGCAGAGCCTGTTAGATATTGTGAGGACTTCGCTTAGAACAAAGGTTCACCATACCGTGGCTGACAAGTTAACCGAGATCTGCGTGGACGCTGTGCTGGCTATTAAGCAACAGGACAAAGAAATCGATTTGCACATGATCGAATTGATGGAAATGCAACATAGAACAGCAGATGATACCACTCTGATTCGTGGCATAGTCACCGATCATGGATCTAGACATCCAGATATGCCTAAAAGGGTAGAAAATGCATATATTCTGACCTGTAATGTGAGCCTAGAATATGAGAAAAGTGAGGTACATGCTAATGCAAAATAACAAGAATTTAATTAATATAATATAATTAATAATTAAAGACATAATTCTCTGGATTTTAATTTTATAGGTGAATAGTGGATTCTTTTACAAATCAGCGGAAGAACGCGAAAAGTTAGTAGCTGCTGAACGCGTGTTCATCGATAATCGCGTAAAAAAGATTATTGAATTGAAGAAGAAGTTGTGCGACGGAACAGATAAATCATTTGTTGTGATAAATCAAAAAGGAATCGATCCATCATCTCTCGATATGCTCGCAAAAGAGAATATTATGGCTTTACGCAGAGCTAAGCGTAGAAACATGGAACGCTTAGCACTCGCCTGTGGTGGCGTAGCTATGAATTCTGTGGATGATTTGAAAGAAGAGCATCTGGGATGGGCCGGTCTTGTGTATGAACATGTTTTGGTAATCTTCTATATTTCTCATTAAAAATGAAAGTTATCACATAAAGAGTTAGCTGAAAACTTTTTCTATAAATTTAATTTATTTTTCAGGGAGAAACTAAATATACCTTTATAGAAGATTGCAAAAAGCCAAATTCTGTAACTATTTTATTGAAGGTAATGCAAATAGTTTATTTGTAATGATGCATGCGAATATTCTAATATACTAATGTACTGATATTCTAGGGTCCTAACAAATTTACATTGGACCAACTTAAAGATGCTGTGCGTGATGGACTTAGGGCAATAAAGAACGCTATTGACGATCGTGCAATCGTTCCTGGAGCTGGAGCCTTTGAAGTTGCGGTTAGCCAAGCTCTTCAACGGTACAAAGAGCAAGTGAAAGGAAAGCAACGTCTGGGAGTACAGGCCTATGCCGATGCTTTACTCGTAATTCCAAAAACTCTCGGTAAACATAATACTTATGAATCTCTATTTTTATTAATATTGTCTAACATTGTCATGATTAATCTTTTATCTTTTTTATTTCACAGCCGTTAATAGTGGATTTGATCCGCAAGATACAATCGTTAAATTATTTGAGGAAAGTTCTGCTTTAGGAGAACCAGTAGGATTGGATCTGTCTACGGGGGAAGCTTTAAAAGCCGCGGATGCTGGCGTTTATGATAATTATAATGTAAAAAAACAAATCATCAATTCTTGGTAAGATATTATTAAAACACTTATGTGTATGCTCTGTGGAATATTATAACTTACATGGATAACAATTTTTTATTTTCAGCACGATAATCGCCAGTAATCTCCTTCTGGTTGACGAAATAATGAGAGCAGGATTATCTTCTCTAAAGGGTTAAATTACAATGTAATTCTTATGGAATTAAAAGTTTAAGGACCACTAATAATTTTTTTACGAAATAATTCAAATTATTGGATTATCATCTATTTTGCATTACATGTGTTAACCAAATATGTTGCTTGATCTCTTATTTTTGATTTAAATATTTAATAACACGATAATGACTTTTCACACTGAATAATAAAATGTTTTCGTAAAAAGTATTTCATTCACTTACAAAATTTCACAACGTCGTAAAATATAAACTGAGAAAGGTACAAAATATCTTTGAAAGTATGAAAAGAGAAATCGTAAATAATGAAAAAATATATATATAAAGGCAAAATTGAATTTTGACGCAAAAAGAGACGACTCATTAATTCTATATAGATTAAAAGATATTCGTCTTTCTGCTTTTTACTTAAAAAAATAGTAATTTTAATTTGTATGCCTGAAATTGATTACTCATATTACTGGTCAATTTATAAAAATTAAAAATATTTATTTATGGTACATGTATTTACAACGTTCTAAAAACTGTCATTACAATAATAGGACGTTTGTCAGTCTTGTATTTTCACAGAAAAAAATCCTATTTTCTGTTATGTATTAACATCATGTCATTTGCTGAAAAGAATTCGTGTGGTTACTGGAGATTATAATGTAATGTAATAATTAAATTCTAATGTTTAAATTACATCTGTATACCTCTCCAAATATAGTACGATTTCATTGCTAGAATAATACGGTACACTTCGACAAAATTGTCCAACTGAATTTCATAAAAATAAGGCATAATAAAATATTTACATGGTATGAAAAAACATGATGTGTAAATGGAAAAACATTTTTACTTTTGTAATATTAACTGTCCTGTCATTCTGAATAAATATGTTGCAATATTGAGAGTAAGGTGTAAATTGGCTAACGTAATTGTGATTTTATGAAAGGTATTAAAAAAATAGTTTTATTTAACTATTCAGCAATTTACGATCTAAATCTGTGATGTAATGGTAAGTTTAACAATAATTCAAGAGTTCAACAGACAATCTTCATATATAAAAGTATCACATCAAACACATACTCGAGACGAGACATATTTAAATATCCTACGATTACATTGTACTAGTTGTTCTGACCTCTTTTCTCCTGATGTATAGCTATGATCGTATCTCCACTTTCAATTTATACACATTGTACTTTATGAAATAAAAAAACCACAGAAGCAAAAAAAATACGCAAGTAATATGAGGATTAAATTATGATTTTTCGATGCTTAAAACACACTGTATCTTTTCACTTTTTATCATCGCAAATGAATTTTATCACGTACAGAAATAAAACCTGGGGTTTTTGTTGCAATTCCACTTATGTACTAGTTTTTACAACAATCCACACTCAACTGTCCTTAACGCAAAAATTTTGAATCTTGATAGAACACTAAAATTCTATCTATCTACGATATCATACGAATAATTATTGTGATATTAATCCAAATTTGAGAGAATTGCGGTATATTTAGGATCTTTTCTAATGTCTTTCACTAATATTTTCGGCTTGATATTAATAAGCGTTGCAAGAGTAAGACAGTTTACCCGCATACTGTGGCCCCCGACCACCATGTATGTATTCAACTCGGTCAGATTAACTGGACTGCTTGGTATTCCATAATGCGATACGAACTGTTTGTTCTGTATTTCTTCTTCCTCATATTCCATGTCTGTGCTGTGTTCCTCTGGTAGCGGTTTAAAAAAATTCGGCGGATACCTTGGATTCGTAGACTTGCGTGCAACAGCTTTGAATACACGTGGGCTTGGTCTCGCAGACGAGATAGTCGATTTGGTGGTAGATTTCCTTGCGACAGCCTGACGACTATTTCCTTTCGATGTCAAAGTGTTCAAATTACAGCTCTGATCATTCTTGTTTTTCATGTCACCAGGTTCGATCTGATTGACATGCTTTGTGATCAGGTTCTCTACAACCGATTCAAAACTCGAGATATTTTTCGAATTTGTCGCGTACTTTTCAGTATTGTATGTAGGCAACCGTACTGATGTGCTAAAATACATAGATTTTGCATGTGTTTAATTAAATGTTTCTTGTAGATATAACAATATATATCATATACATATACAAAAACATTAAGTAATAAGATGTAAACAACAAGCAAATCGACTAATCACAGTAGAGATTATTTATTATCGCAGTAATATCACGAGTTAAATTGACTAGCAATTTAACAAATTTTGATGCTTTTTCGCATTTTCAAACGATTTTAATTATACTGAATGACATATTAAAATCTGTAAATAATTAATTCTTATTGCGAAAAATATTAGATAATTTTTTAGAATAGCTACCTCATCTCCGATTTTGATGAAATTAGGTTCATTCGACATATTTTTGCGTAACACTCAATATCTCGTTTCGCAGAGCAGTCCCGGACTTTTTTCTGTCAGATTCTTTCATGTTATGCAAAAACGCGTCGAATGAGCCTAATTTCATCGAAATCGGAAGTGATTTAACCTTAATAGTCAATTTTAACACTCAGTATCTCGCTTCATAGGGCAGTCCCGGATTTTTTTCTGCCAGATTCTTTCATTTTACGCAAAAACGTGTCGAATGAACTTAATTTCATCGAAATTGGAGGTGAAGATAGCTATTCTGAAGAATTACCAAATATTACCTTGACCGGGAGTCGAATCCGGATCCCTTATATTCCGTGATCAATACGAGCGTGCTAAAGTAATCACACTACAGACTCCCGACTCTAGAGGTTTGTTCGCAGTTCGCGTCGCACGTTCCAATATGCTCCTGTTCATCCCAACGTGCTCCAATACGTTCGCGTCAACGGAACCAATATGGCGACTAGATGTCGCGTCGCATTAAAGCATACTCCATGGATCAATTAAGAGCATGCTCTATTTGCTTCACCTCGGAAGGTAGTGCGGTTGGGGCATGTTACGCACGCATGCGTAATGATTGAGAATGTGTAGTGTTGAGAGAAGTATTTCATGGTTGTTACAGATATCTTAACTTAACCTATGTTCTGTAGTCAACTTTAACGAGAGTGGCGCTCAATTTAACGATTAATCTCGGTCCATGAGGCAGAGCGACGCTTTTTTTCTGGAGGACGCTTGTCCCAACTTGTCCTAAATCCGTTCGTGTCACCGAGCGTTGGGGAACAGCGTTGAATCCAACTGCTCCAACCGCCATCTTACTGGTGATCCAAGTGCTCTCTGGGTTAATTTGGAGTAAGCGGCGCGAACAAACCTTAGATTTGTTCGCGTCGCATGCTCCAACATGCTCCAATATAGCTCCTACTCACTCTAATGCGCTCATTAAGGCTTGTTCTTTTTGGCTGAACTTTTGCACCAGTTCATCTTTCTTCCTCTTCTTTCCTCTTGGAGAGAAAAGGAAGAAAGAGATGAACTGATGCAAAAGTTCAACCAAAAAGAACAAACCTATGGACTGCTAGCACCTCATTTTTGCTATAGGAAATGCATACTCTCGGTGTCGCCGAACTGAAGTTGGTTGAAGATTGTTAAGCTCCGCCCCGAACAGTAAAGACCGGCAAGTTCAAATGCGAAAGTTGCCATACTTATATTATACACGAACCGATACTAACCGTTCTTTTTCTTCCGTTTTCCCCTTATTTGGTTTTCCGACTCAAGTACAGAGTTGCAATACCATGTAAATTAATGGATTCTATAATCCTTGAATTTTCTATAATCCTTATGGGCCTTCTACAATAAGCCGCAAGTCAGAACGTCAGAAGTCTTAATCAGTCTTAATCAAGTTGTTCAAGTTGGCTATTGGCCAACTCCACCGATTATGACTTAAGATCGCTTAGAACTTCTGACTTGCGGCTTATTGTAGAAGGCCCATTATAGCCCTTCTTGACCAATTATAGTCGATTGTTCTCCTCCTGATCAATTTCTTACAACTTAAGGCTAAAAGCCTAATAAGTTTTACGCTTTAAAATCTCATTGTAGACGCTGCTTTAGTAAGTAGCCATTTCGGCGCGCGTTTCAAATGACTACATACGTAGTATATAAATTCACATAGGTCGGTATTCATAGTCGATTCTTATTTCAAGACCGTCTTAAGTAATGCCTTAAGACGCTAATGCAGCCCTCTGATTGGTTCATGACTTCTTAAGATCGTACTTAAGACGGTTTTGAATATAAAATCTGACTGAATACCGACCAAAGAATCATAGAAGCATTTAAGATCCAGCTAGACCGTTTAAGACTTTAATTGCTATAATTTGTATTATCACACACATATGTACAGTTCTATAATATATTATATTGATTATTTATTAGTTATCTATTGTGATTAGTAAATTCACTTACGCATAAACATATGCATAAAGAAAATCATCCAATGGTACTTTAAGTTTGTCTGTATGACAGAAATGTGATTGAATAATTTTCTTTATGCATATGGTTATGTGGCTCTGCAAGTTTGTGTGGAATGGCCCTTACTGCTTATGTTTTATTATTTTATGTTTTTTTTTATGTATTTCTAGTTTGTCTATGAGTAAGTACTTACTCTGTCTGATCTTGTTCCTTCTGTTGCTGTTGCTCCTTCCATTTTTGTGGTAAATGCGAATGAAACATGTTATGATGCCTTATCCTATCATTGTTGGTTTCGCAAAGTTCTTGGCACCATTGACAAACCCATCCACGCTTTGGAATGATAACAGGCGACAGGTTCTCTGTCTGCTTTGCTTGGTTACGCTCAATGACGTTCTTCTTCGTGGGACTTTTAGGCAATCTCGACACAAGTATCTCTTTATATTTAAATGGAAACTTTGCAACAAAAGGAGTTTCCGAACCCTTTAAGTCCTTGTGCATGAGATTCCAGTGCTGCTTGATGGATGGCAGCGAGACGCTGCGAAGGTTACAATAAACACAGCCATAGATTACAGCTGATGACGAATTGCCTTCTTCATTCTTTGTTGACGTGTCGATATCTTGTTTTTGAGGCGTCGGTGGCTTGGTTTTTGTTTCGCTAGGGGAAGAGTCAGTCGCTGACATTCGTTCCGTATATTTCAGCGGTACCGAGGGATGATTTGATTCCCAATGCTCCACCATTTCTGCTTTATACGAACAGCTATAGGTGCAATACAAACATTTGAGATTGTGTTGATGAGCGTGTGTTCTCATGTGACTCCTCAGGCCAGTATGATTTACTGCTGTAAAGTTGCACACCTCACACTTCTCTAAACGATTATTAACGGAACCGATTGCGGCTGCAGAGGCGGCGGTGCTACTAACATTATTCTCTGTGTTCAATTTTCGTTTTTTTGTCTTCAGTGGAGAAAGACCATACTCCTTCTCCCAGAATTCGTTGGTTAGCTTTGTGTTTCCCCATGCATCCGGATTGTGTATAATCCTTTCTGGATCGTGCGGATGTTTCGCGCGGATATGCTGGCACATCATCGTCTGCGAGTTGGTACTACGGTCGCAGTAGGGACACAGGAAGCTCAGTCGTTTCAAATGTGAATATTGTACGTGTAACTTGAATCCGCGTTGGCCGGCGAACGTCGTCTGGCAATGCTTGCAGACAATTGGCTTGTCCAGATCATCATCAGTCTTCTCGCAAACTGCGCATAAAATCATGCATTTTATTTTATAGATCTTATAAACGAAACTGAGATGTAATTCTAAATGTAATCTATATACTTACGTTTATCATTTTCAGATTTATCTCCGTTACTCTTAATCTCGTACACCTCATCCTCCTTCATATCGATTACAAGATCCTCGTTGTCTCGGCTATCTCCGTCATCAGAGTCTATGCTGCTTTTATTAGCATCTTCAAGAACGTCGTTTTGCAGTTTGGATATCGTAGATGCAAGATTTACGGATTTTTTGTTGGTTGAGATCTTCACGAAACTAACATCTGAACTTGAAGAACTTGTATTAATGGGTATACTTTTATAGATAACATTCATGTGATTCCACGCCTTGATCATGTCCGTTTGCTTTTTCAATAAAGTCATCACCTGTAAATCATACATAACGTTTATTTATAATGTACGAATAAAGCAAGAATTAATAAAATAAAATAAAATATTATATTTATATTTCATTTTATTATCGTTAATTAATAATATTACTAAAAATTTTTATTTATTAAATAGTAAAGAATATAATAAAATTTTAGTAAGTATATATATATATATATACCCAATCCTCAATCGCATTATCCGGCGAAAGTGGCTCATCTGTACCTTCTCCATTATGACGTTTCCCAATATGCAGCAATAATGCTTTACGATTTACCGATACATATCCGCAAGTCTTGCAATGAAATCTAAACAGATAAATTAAAAAAAATCTTTTTTAGTAATAGAATTTACAAAAAGTAAATTTAATTTCTGAAAGTGCCTACGTTCCAGTAAAATCACAATTCAATAACTCAACAGTCTGTTAGTAAATTCGAATAAAAATTTAGCATCTGACTGTCGTTACATGTATATTTGTATTTTGCTGGTAAAAATTGTTAATATAACATGATAAGACATCCCCAGAATGCAATCTGAAGGTAAATTAATAATAGATTCTGCTCGATTTCAGACTGCATTACAGATTCTTATGGCACATTTGGCTTTCTAAATTTCAATATAACATGTCACTTACCTAACATAGTTCAACTCCCTATAAAGATGATCTCTCATATCGTGCTTGTATTTCGACTTGAATTGATTACACAGCGTACAGACATACATATTGGCATCCGGTTTGCCGTAAGGTCCAAATCTTCCCACATCGGAATCATTACCGTCGATCAGTTCCATCGAGTCTTTCACCGATTTATTGCCAGTGACTTTGCTTTGTGCACTTTCTTTCATAATATGTCCTTCGCCTTCCGCCTCCCCGGATACTTTATCGCATGAAAGTGACCGTTTTGATTTCTCCTTAGACAGTTTATTATTTTCATCGAGAGATATTGATTTCCCGGTCACTTTTATTTTAGCTGGTTTTGTCACGATTTCTGCGTCGCTCTTGCGTTTGCCTAAAGATAGCTTTGAAGTTACGGGCGACGTCTCACTCGTCGCAGGCGTTTCGGTTTCTTCCTCCAAGAGGATCCCGCGAATATGTCGAACTCGTGACATGTTTCTACTCCAAAGTGGTGTCGTATCAAAGGGTTCGTCCTGTCCGCCTTGATCAACGGTTTCTGTACTCCGTTTATTGACACCTTTTATCCTCTGGTATATCATGGTGTAATCGGCGTTAGAATCGTGTGTGTGCTTGCTGTTTATATGTTGCTCAAGAAGTATTTTTCCGTTCGTTTTAAATGGGCACAGGGTGCACTTGTATTGGGAGCTCTCACCGTGAACTGTGTCAGCATGAGTAGCTATTTCAGCTTTGTAAACAAATTTAAAATCACAAAGATTACATTTCCAATGATTGCCGTCCGGGTCGGGTACCTCCTCCTCGGTCTCATCTGGGACTGGTTGCTGAACATTCTCTGGGTTCTCCACTTCCCTTATTACTTTCACGAAAGGTCTCTTCTCCGGATGCTTATCAGTAAGATGTCGTTCCACAACATGTCTAGATGTCATTTTAATACTATCAGAGAGCATAGAAAGTGCACTTACGCCAACAAGAAAATCTTAAAACATCTGACAAGTAATATATATTTTTCTTTTTCGTGTATTAATTTTTTTATCAGGAAAATAGCAATCTGTTTATCTTGATTACTGATACATTAATGATTAAATAATAATAAAGTTTACTAATCATACTTGTCACATGTTTTAAAATTATATTAAGTGTATATGTGTATATAAAATTAGAATTTTTATAAAATAATCAAAAAAATATATAAATGATACAATCAAATTATATATACAATTAAAATTATCATACGAATATATACAAACCTATGATAATGATGATGATTGCAATGGGAGCATTTATAGAGTCTTGTATCATGCATTCTCAAATGAATGCCCATTTTGTCGATCGCTATATTTTGATTCTCTTGACCCGACGATGATGGAGGACAATGTGGACAATGGAAATATGGTTCTTCTGAATGTAGAGCCTTTAAGTGATACTTTAACATTGCCTCGTTCACCGTTAAGTAATTGCATTCGGTTACGCCACATACGTATCTATGGTAGAAAATATATATAACTGTTAGAACACAATATTTCTCTAATATTTTATTTGTTGCAATTTTAATTAATATCACACACCTTTGGTGTTCCGGTACAAACTTTGGTATGCTATCGTCCGCCTCGCTTTCCTTAATAGATTCTTTCGATTTTGCGCCCATACGACCATTTTGGTGTGAGCTGCTCGCTAGATTCACCATCTTATCGAACATCTTCTCTTTCTTATCTAAACAAGGAACAGGATTGACCGGACCGCTCTCGGGTACAGTCTCGTCTTTCGCATGTAATTGCAAATGCCGGATAATATTTGTCCGAACTTTAGTTGTGTAAGGACATACGGCACACTGGACTTCCCGATTGTAAATCGCTTGACGTGGTAATTGCTCTATTTCGTCAGGATTAAACGATAATTTTCCGTTATCCAAACTCTTTTCATTTTCCTGTTCCGTTCCAGACTTGTTAGCACGTTTACGTTTCTTGTTTCTCCGATCGGCAGCTTCATAAGGCTGTATAAATTAAATATGCAGGGATTACATAACAGTTCTTAAAAAAGAAGATATGCATATTTTTATTATTAAAAATAGACTTACAACTGCTTGTACGATAAAGAGGCCATCTTTCGCTGGATTTGTTGGATCGGCAGGCACTATCCTCGTGTGAAAAAATTTGTGTTTTGACTTCATATGAGCTGTAGCTTGGTATGAAACCGAATATCTTAGCTTACACAGACTGCATCCAAAACGCTTTAATCCGTGAGTTTTTATATGTTCTAAAAACAAAGAAATTTTGACGGCACGTTTTTTACAATGCGGACAAAATAAATTTTGTCTAGGGTCTCCTAAATTGCACGTCTTTACATGCGCTTTCAATAAGTCCATGTTTTGCGCCGTGAAACTACATTCATGCAGATAACCGCATTTATATAACTCATGTCCGATACGACCAGTATCTTTAATGTCATCCAAAGTCAAAGGCTTGTCTGGTTGAGCAGTCGCATTAGTAGTATGTGCTGACGCTTTTTTGGATGTGCATTTCGTTTCGGTAGTATCGCTGGATGCAACCTGCTCTTTATTTTCAGCCTCTGTCTTGGAAAACACCAGTTCTGCCTTTTTCTTTACTTCATCCTCAGTCTTACACTGCGCGGCTTTCTCTTCGCTTTCCAAAATCTCGATATCACTATCTTCAGTTTTATCCGCGGATTTAGAAAACACATTGCTGGAATTGGATGTAAAATTCTTTAAAAGATCTGCGTTATCGAGAAGATTGGTATTTACGAATTCGTCGCTGTAATTGAATTCGTCTGAGACTTTTAACGGATCGACTACGCCGGAATCATTCACGGACATATCCAATTTCGGTTCTTGAAGAATCTGATTTGTGTAGTCGCTTAATTTTCTCGTCTCCGACTGGAACGGCTCATTTTCCAAAGGTTGTTTTTCAACACTTATATTTGTATTTTTGTTGATAGTGGTACCAGACGTATCTATAAACTGTTTCGTTGAGATATTGGAAATATTGACATTAACTTCAGTGTTCTTTAGATCACTGACTGCCCCAATCAAAATATCTTCCTTCAAATTTTTTGGTTGATTAGACTGAGCTTCATTTAAAATTATTCCAGCATTTGACGAAACTGATGTATTCTTTTTAGAATTGTCAGCGTTCAAATTAAAACTTCCTTCATCTATTTTATCATCGAAAGTTCGTAAAATGAGTTGATGTATAACTTCCATCTGGCGCGATGGCTGAAATTAAGCGCAATTATATAATATATTAAACAAATTGTTTATTAAAATACTTATATTATTTCATAGTGTGCCAAAAGAACTAATTCAAGATCGAAATATTATGTTATGTTTTAATTAAGATACACAATCTGTTTTAATCAAATAATTAATTCTAATAACAATACCGATGGAGGAAGTGAACGTTCCAGAACCTGAGGCAATCGATCGTAATGAAAGGTGCTTAAATGCTGATGTATTTCGTTTAGCGTATCGGAACCATAAAAACAATATAAGCACTGGTATTTGCAAAATCCATGCAACTTGTAATGCTGTAAGTATAACAATAAAATGATATTTATAATTATTTTCGTTTTCCTAACAGTATATACAGATAGGTGTAGAGTACATACAGATATAAGAAATTCTATCGTGGTATGAGTAGTGTTGCACACATGACATTTGTACACAAGATGAGAAGATGAATGTTTTGTCTTTAAATGTGTCATAAACGCTTCAGGTATATAAAAGATTTTGTCACAATCTGAAAGTAATTAACACTAGAAGTTATGCTATGAAAGTAATTAACTAGAAATTATACTATGAAAGTAATTAACAATTAATACAATTAAAAATATAAATAAACCGTAGTTCTAATAAAAACGAATAATTCTTTGTCTGAAAGGCATATACCACGAACACCAGATAACAGTGGCGATTATTTTCAATCCTTTATTAAATACATGGAATCAAAAATAAACGTTTCGGTCCCAATCGGACCATCTTCAGTATTAAACGTTCTATTATGAATTAATTAGACATGATCCTATCCTACGCAACATAGTTTTACAATTTGGTTAAGCCATCAATAAATAACTTCTAGTCATATCATTTTTAACGTCTATCATTACATAAAATTTTTCTTTTTCTCCTGAAAACGGAAGTCATAAATTCTTTTCGTCTCTTATACTTCATACTTTGCTAATCTTATTTGTCACATCAAAAAATCCTTGTTGCATCACACAGAGTTACCAGATTCTATCAAATTATTAATCTTTAATATCTCTCTTAAAAACTTACTTAAAATTTAATTATTTCCTTATCACATACCTGTGCGATTATGTTAATTTAACATTACCAGTCATTTTTTCATAATACATCACGGCTCTTCATAAAATCGATAATAGAACGCAAACTTCCTGATTCTAATAACAATACCATCATTAATACACATGAAACAATTAAGACTGTTATAATCTTAAAACGCACCTGTGTTCCACTATCTCACAATCCAGTTCATAACGTCAACGCGGATAACTTTCCGTATCATTCAAATTGTGGCGACACACTAACATCTCAACGTACATCTCCAACTTATATAAATCATAAACAAGTGAAGAGGGATGCCATTATATGTAAGAGATATTTAACAAAGGAAAATATGATTCTGGAAATTTCTCTGTGTCTGTCTGCTTGTTCATGCCGTTAATCTGTCTTTTTATACTAATCATCTCTAACGCGAGTCTTTTATGAAAGAATAGCTCTGTGTCAAGTATTTGAATATTTTCCCAATCTAAATTATGTCCTAATTTCACTTGGTGATCCGAAACAACCAACCGAGTATCCTTTGTTTTCTTAATATCAGCTTTATGTTCTTTTATCCTAGTACCTAATTTCCTTTTTGTCTAACCTACATACATTGAGTCACAATTTGTGCAATTAATCTTATACACCACTTGAGAACTTTCAATTTTTTCTAGTTTGTCTTTACCTAATTTAATCACTGAAGTTAAAGTGTTAATCGGTTTATACGCTACCTTATAATTATTTTTGTCTGCAATGCGCTTGAATTTTTCAGACAAAGAATTGTTTGTTTTTAACAATTAATAATTGTGTAATATCCAATACAACAATACAATATATTAGCACATTTATATTATAACATGTTACAATATTATTACAATTACATACCATCTTGTTTGCATATAAAAGGTAGTACATAAGCGTTACGATTAATGTGTTCCTTTTTCTGTAACGACTTCTGCTTCTTGTCCAATAAATAATAAAACACGGTATTGGGATGACACATAATCTTAATAAAAAAAATTAGCAAATATTATTATTCTTTTAATAACACAGATATACAGTAATTAAAAATCGTTACCTGATGTTGCCGTACATAGGACGGTACAAAGGATCGATAAAAGCAGTAACCACATTGATACCGGCAATGAAGGTGTTTAGTCGCCAAGTGAGTTTTCATCTCGTTCCAGTTATTTGTAGATATGTAACAATAGGCGCACTTGTCATAATGTGCGTTTTGCTCGCTAGCTTCTTCGTAATGTTTAGTATAGTGTTTAGAATAATCCAGGGGCAAGTCGGTTGTGAAAGAGCAATTATGACCCATGCACTTGTAAAAATGAGCTAGCTTTGGCTCTGTCAGCATCCTCGCATACACTTCCATAGATTTCAACTTGATCGCGAAGGACGCGGGCGACGTGTCTTTAGAGTTGTTTAATACAGGCATACGTATTACCTTGATTTTCCTTGATCTATAATTGAAAGTTGATAGACTAGTCGATGAACTTGTCAATGGAGCGGACACCGATTGCATCTTCGAAGCTACAAAAAATTTAATGTTAAATATGTGGTTTGAGTAAAAAAAATTGATGTAAAATATATATGCCAATGAATTTCACTAAGAGTATTGGTAAATTCTTGACAGGACATACTTTGCAGATTCATATTGACTAGCGCTTGCGGTAAGATCTTTTTCAATATTAAAGGTTGGTTGGACTTCTTTAAAATAGATTCTTTGCTTTTCGTAGGAGATACCTCCATTGCTTTACTAGTGTCGTTTACCTAGAAACAGTAAAATAAAAAAATGTGATAATGAGATAATAGATGAAGTTAAATGTCAGAGTAATGAAAACACTGTGATACATTTACATACAGTAACACTTTCATTAGAATCGGATTCTGCAAGGCTCCTCACATTTTCGATCTTCAAAAACGAACATTCTTCCTCTGTATCCGTTTTTAATCCATCTATCGCGCTATCTGATTGAGCTCCATCTATAAATTTTATTCATTAATATATAAATAGATACATATCTCCGTTGAATACATTCAATAACCGATGAGTTAGTTAGTAGTAAATTAATTAGCCTTGCATTTAACGTATTCAATTACTCGAAACATTATGGCAGTAGCTGTTCAGATCACCAACCTGTATTGAATTCTTGTGAATCTTCTTGATTATCCAAAAACTGCATCGGCATAGACAACATATCGCCGCTAAGTCGCCTGAATCTGAGAAAATTCTTGGGCGAACTAGCATTCTTGCTTGATGCCGGCATGTTCTTCTCCGAATACTTGACATTTTGTTTTAGCAAATGTTTAACACTGGCGATCGGCACAACGTCCGGTGGTTTTGGAATCACCGATCCAGGCTCGGTCTTGATTTCTGTCTTAATATCAATCATTGGCTCGGGCGGCACCGGCTCCAACGGTTTGACGTTCTGAAGTTGCGCGGCCAGCCTCTGTATCGTCGTCAACATCGGATCTCGCGATGAAGATGCGTTCATGCTCGAGGTTTCCTTCAGGATCATATTGACGTCAGTCTGCTCGGAATCCGATTGCTCACTGCTGGAGTCCGATTCAAAAATTGGTGCCGAGCGCTCGTTGTCGCTATTTTCGCCGTCGCTCTCGTTGTCTTTGGATGAGTCCATGATCGCAAGAGGATCCCGAATTTTTACATCCACTTTGCCACCCACGTCATTTGTTACCTTCGATTTTTCAGTAGCCAATTGTTCCTCCATAAAAGAAAGAGGGTCGCCTTGATTGTTCGACTGACTCGGGATGTCCTCTTTGATGATTAGTTCTTCCTCGGTTTTCAGAAGTTCTGCGGATAAATTCACAAAAGGCAATGAAGGGTTTTCCTTTGTTTCCGGAATGTTCGCTGACGCGTTACATTCAGGAACTGGATTAACAACCGCGTCCGTGCGCATTTTATCCTGCAGTTTGTCTATTATGGACAAACCCGGTTTAGAATGGTTTTTTAACAAAATACCGATATTATTGGCGATCTCTTGCATCGTCTTCTGCCGCTCTCGCTGTATCTCCATTTCCTTATTTTCCAAATCAGGTGGGCAAACAAATACGCTTAGATTGCCGGTGCTCACAGACCCCTCCGGTTCCCCTTGAGACAGCCTCGGAGTTTCCTCGGTTTTTTCCTCCTTGACTTGAATATTGTCATTCGTTTTTTGTTCAGGTGGAATACATCCAGTGGTATTATCATCGTTACTCTCGGACTCCATTATCCTTGCAATATCTATTAGGTCTTTACACTCCATAGCTTCAAATTCAAGAACCTGCGGTTTTGTTTCTATAGCGAAAGATTCCTCAGCATTAACGGACGTCAACTCGTGCGATTGCTCATTGTTATTTGCAGCGTGTTCCGCTAATACAGTTATCGCCGACATATTAATCTTCAAGATCTCGGTATCCATCTGCTCTCGGTGCCAGAACTCAACGTGGGCCTCTATATTTTGTCGCTTTAGTTGTACATAATTACAACTGCAACACAAGTAGCCATAGATGCCGCCTTCTCTCGGTACGATGTCTTCGGATGCAGACTCGTTAAACGTTTTATTCTTGCGACATATCTTGTAATAGTGCGTCTTCATGGACGCTTTGGCCACCGCCTGATAAGAACAATTGTTGCAGTGGAATCTGTATTCACCCGTGTGTGTAGTACAGTGCTCGTAGAATGCCTCGAGTGCTACGTCCGCTGCGCCTTCCGTAACAAAACAGCAGAATCTGCAGCGAAACTTGCACGATTGACTCGTATTCATTGTGGTCACACCACGCTCGGCTTCCAAAATCGCAGTCTTAGCGTCCGTCGACTTGAGACGCGAGATAAGCACTTCCATTCCGGGATGATTGATCTTGTAATGATGAACGATGTTTTTGCCCGTGAAGAAGCATAATAAGCATTTATATTTGTCCTGACCGACCCACACATAATCTATCAGATGCTTGATATCTATTCTGCGATAGAGCTCCGTCATCAATTCATCGTAAACAATCTTTGGTGATTCCTTGAAAAACTTGTTTCCAGTAACGGCATTTGCCGAGGTAAGATCAGCACTACTTGAACTTACTTCCTCTTTTATGTCCATTTGTATCAATGATTTATTTTCTTCGATAGAAAGAAACGAGTCATTAAGTGTTTCTCTATGTATATCCGAAGGCTCTAATAAAGTAGTAAAGTTGCTTGAATCTTTAAAATCTACATCAAAGCTATCCATATTTGCAAACGGTTTAACCTCGTCTTCTACAGAATCTACACTCGCATGGTCGACAACGTGATAGTCGTCAAGAACCTTTTCGAGAGTTTCCTTTGTTACAGGATCTTTATATTTTAAGAGCGATTGATTAGCTTCTACAGTATCCGCCGAAATATTCGATTCGATATTTATCTCAACATATGTTTGAGCAGTTTTGGAGGAAGTTACCGAAGCAGTCTTCTTCTTTCTCTTTTTAGTAGTCAATCTGCCCATCTTCCAAAGATTTCCAGATTTTTTTTTCTTTTTTCTTATGTAAGACCTTTTCACGTTCGGCTCGATAGCTATCGGATCATTCACGTCCACCTCGAAGTTTAGCTCATTATCCTTGTCGACCGATGTATTCTTCTCCGCTGTCGGCACCAATCCTACCAGAATGTTACTCAACAGTTCCTCTCTAGCAGTCGTTCTAGCTGCACCACTACTATTCATTTTCTTCCGTGCAGTCGTGTTACTCGACATAGAAATATCTGATATCGCACTCTCCTCATCCGTGAATGATGACCCGTCTTCACTTTTGTCGTCGGTGAGCGCAGACGACTTCTTTGACTTAAAGTTCCGTTTATCTGTGTTGGAGGTGTTTTTCCGTCGACTTGGAATAATCAGCGTATCTATCGAGTCCTGATCAGATTGTTTTTCCGGTCGAAGAGAGATGTCCACCGCCGCGGTTAATTCAGACACATCTATGCCAAAACTCTCATCAGACGAGCTGTCGAACATTATCTTACACGAATCTATTTTCGTAAGATCCGCCTTCTCCACAACCACTCGTGGTTCCTTAATAATATCTTTACGTAGAACGCGTTTAGATCTGCGGATTGCATCGTTGCTTTCTTCACTACGAGCCACTTCTTGATTCGGAGTGCTGTTGTCAGTGGTGTTTAGCAACTTCTCTGTTCGCAAAGCCAATGGTTGATCCTCTTCACTGTCGGAACTTTGAATAGATTTCTTTGATTGTAAACTGCGAGTCATCCGTTTGGCGTCCTTGCTTTTAGCTTTTGATTTCGACTCTTCCACGTTACGAGATCTTAAAGTCTTCCTCTTAGCGTTATTCGCTGCCGACTCGTTCGTTTCAGTATTGGACTCAGCAATTTTCTTCTCAGCAATGCTCGATGTCTCCTCTTTCTTAGAGTTCGATAATCGGCACATTCGATAACCTGTCGCCGTTACTACACCCTCGCTAATAAACATTTCCCTGATATCTTCTTGCAACATCTCTAGAGAATTTCTTCTCTTTGTTTTTATCTTTGGTTTATCAATTGAAATTTCCTCAGCTTGGTTTGTAATATCGGAAATGACAGATTGCGTTGTCGAATCCTTATCTTGATCCAAATGTTCTATATTACTTTCTGTATCATCCTGATTCAGATATTCTATACTACGTTCTGTACTATCCTTTGATTTCTCTAGAGTGTTTTGATCGACCCGATTATCTTGATTATCTTTAGTTTGTTTCTTCTCTTTATCACTATCTTTTAATCTACTACTCATTTGTTTTTGGTTTTCTGGTTGAATATCAGTATTTTCAATATCGTTTCCTAATCGATCATTCTTATCACTTTTCTTTTCTAATTGCTCATCCTTATTTTTATTATCTACTTTATTTTTTGCTCGTATGTACGCCTTGTCACGACTTTCTGGTAAATCGACGTTTATCTTCGCAGTAATATCTTCAGTTAGTTTTTTGTTCAAATTATTACTGGATGCTGTTACCTCGAGATTTTCTTCCGAATTTTTAGGATCAGTGGAAATTGCAGAAACCAGCTCTCTCGCATCATTCGTGTCAATGTTGGTACTTAAGATACTGAGCCTCTCCGCAAGACATTCATCATCCGAGCTGTCCGACATTATCACTCGCCTCTTTTTCTTGACTTGAGTCTTTTTCGCTTCAACTGTTTCATCCTTGTCCGAACTACTTTCGGATTCGGACTCGATGATCTTCTTAATCTTTTTGAAATTTTTCGCCTTTAGTACTTCCCCAAATTTCTGTAACAGTTTCGCGTGTTCGACTAGTTTTTTGCCCTCACCGGATTCAAACGACTCCTTGATTAGAGCTTCAATCCATGCCTTCGTCACCGTTTCCTTAGATTTCGATCCGTCCACTTCTGACTTCGTTTTACCCTTTTTCGTGATATGACTGGATTTGGAATTGTTCGTCGCTGAGTCTGCTTCGCCAATTCTCGTCTCGTTTTTGTCAGACTTTTCGAAAGATGATGAAAAACTCTTTTCCTCTTTTGCAACATTATTTTGTTGGACTGGATTCTCCGTTGCACGATTACCGTCGCTACTACTGCTCACTTCGGCACTCTCAACGTCTTTACTCTTATTCTTGGAATACAATTTATTGCTTTTCTTTTGCTCTTTGTTTTTATTGCTCTTTGCACGCGATAATTTAGACGAAACGCTTTCAACTTCCTTCGTCTCGTTAATAATACGATTTAACTGCGCTGGTTCTGGTCGCTTTATTTTAGGAATTTTGAACTTTTGCAGACCAGAATTTTGACTGGCCTTTGTATCGATCACACCGTAAAGACTTTCTAGCGGTGACTGCATTCTGTCTTTTGGAAGCTTATCCTTTTCCTTTTCAAGCGATTTCTGAGATTTTTGTTTTTCCTTTGTTACCGACGTTGTTTTTGTGCTTGCCGTTACTAGCCGTTTCCTAGGATCCCTTTCATTAAGAACACTGTCTTTGGTTTTGGTTGACGTGTTCACGACATGTTTATCTTTGGAAAGACGCGGATCCCTTGCGGAAACACCGCTCTCTTTGGCCTGATCTCTGGCACCTGTTGTGTTGTGTTCCGTACGAACTCGTGGATCTCGACTCGGGAAACGATTTAGATTCTCTCGATCAGAGTGGCCTTCCCATAACCAATCAGATCGGCGCCCATCACGATTAAAACCAGGCCTCAATTCTATCCTATTTCTCTCGTAGTATCTGCTCTGATTTATATTACTCCTATCTCTATCACGCGCTGTTGTACCCCAAGGGCAAGGCGTGTTGGGTCGTGGATGTGAAGTACCTGTAGTACTCTCCACAACTTGAATTCCACAAGAAATCACATTTTCATAAGAAGGATTGGCGGAACTTTCCCATGTCGGTCTTATATGCGGATATTCCGTCGGTCCGCCGACGGGAAAGGCTGGATCATAAGATCCTTGATTTATTTGAAAGCCTCTGTATTGTGACGAAAATCCGGGAGGCATCAAAGAAGGTATATCTTCCCGAACATTTTCTGGTCTTACCACGTGACTCATATCCGGTCGCACCGTGGGATTGATCAACGGTCTAGGACCAGTGGGTAGAGTCGGCGGGAACTGATTTTGCCTAAATTGTGGTTCCATCGGACGTTGAAAGGGATGTTGAGTAGGTTGTAGAGGTGGATTGGTCATTCCGCCGTAAGAGGAAGGTGTCCACTGATTGTTGCCGAATTGATCACTAGTAGTTGTGGGAGAGCCCCAATGTATCTGATTTGCGTGCATATTGTAATAGTCATTACTTATCACAAATTCGTTCTCCGGTCTAGGCAGACTCGCATCTTTCCGTCCTTCTGATGGTACGCTGGAACGTCTCTGATACAACGAAACATTTCTCTCATCTGATTTGCTTGCAGTATTATGAATAACTGTCATCTGAGATGGGGTTTCTTCAGAAATAGTAATCAATTTATCTTTCGCGCTCTCATGAGAATAAATGTCACGTTGACGAGGATGTCTTTCGTAGTTATCTGCATAACGTGGTTCTTGAAATTTAGAAAATAGTGCTTGTGGTACCGATCGGTGAGAATCATTTGATTGACGAGGTGGCCCGATCGATGAAGTTACTTTCACAGGTGAAACTCCTGCTGTATTTGGCAAATTTTTTCTAGAGGTAAGCTTCTCTTTCTCCGATACTGAATTCTTTGATATTTGGTCCGTATTCTTTTCTTTAGCATTTTCATTGGTTTTATCGCCATCGCCTTCGTCATTCAACAATTCCGCCAGATCTTCCATAGACAATAGAGGCTCATGAGACAAAGGCGGCGGCGAGAATAGAAGCGGTATCGAAGGTGGTTTCGGTGGTGGTTTCAACGTGCTGTCATTCGATCTGGGCGATGTGGGCTTAGGTTTAGCAAACAATATTTCAGGGTCAGGAGAATTAAGTCTCACTTCAGGAACGTTCACGGGTGATTCCGATCTAGAGCAACTGGCCATTATGTCTAAAGTGAGCTTATTTTTCTCTAAAACTGAAGACAATCGTCTGGAACCACCAAGAGAAGGCACCGGGACAGTCGGTATGTCTTGCGGATCTAACGTATAATTTCTGCCGTCGCTGACTTTTTGCGGCAGATTGTTACTGATTAACTTCGCAGCGGTCGTTACATCGTGACTGGTAGCAACTGGTAGCGAAGATTGCCGATTTTCTTTATTTCTTGAGTTATGTCTTTCCGATTCTTCTAACATATCCCATTCATTAAACGTAACTTCATCCGGATTAGAATCTGGCGACGAGATAGTTATAGTTTTTGTATCCGAAAGCGTAATAACTGGTATTACTTTGGATTGTTGTTGTTCTTGTGGTCTTCGATTTCTGTTCTTCGCGTTACGCTCCATAGGAATTACTATAGGCAGAATTTGGCAATCAGGACTGGAAGATCTTACGGTATCTGGACTCTGTGGCGTTTCTCCGATTTCTTCTTTATCATTCTCCGAGTTCGTCGATATCACTTCAATGCACTGATTTGACTTTGTTTTCATCGATGAACTAAAAATCACAAACTCACTTTCTTATTTACCGATTTTAATATTTATTACATATTTAAGAATCATTGCTTGTCAATATGTGATCTTACTATTATTGTTCTGTTCACGATTGTGTTTCAAGACTGTAAAAGATTTCGGAATCGCGGATTACAGAATTGCATATATGTATGTATAAATTTACACCAAGATATTTAAGCACTAAGATCCCGCTTTGACTGAATGTAGAATTTCTCTTACTTAATTAGATTTAAAAATCATTATTTATGAATTAGTTGCAAAGAAGAACGATGATATTATATTACTTAACTTTAACATACGTATATTACAATTATTTGCACTTTCTTGCAATTTTTTTAAAACACCGATGGACATAAACACTTACGTCGAAGGTTGCGACGTGATGTCATCGTTTTGCTTAAATGGTAATTGTAAACCAGATCCATTTCCCTGAAACTCAAGTTGAATTAGAATAATTAAAATATCAAACATCAAACATGCACTACGAAAGCCTGAAAATACAGTACGAGAAAGCAACGAAAATAATATAAAAGTGTAAAGAATCAAGGATTAAAGATTATGAGCGGTTACTATAATGTAGAACCAAAAGAAAAAGAAAAACGTGTGTATCATATAATTATATGAGGTGCTTTTTAAAATGCAAATGAAAAAAAAGCAAAATCTGCATCGAATTCTGTCAAATAACAAGAATGTATGCTTCTAAAATTGTATCGTTTGAAACAAATATGCAAGACACAATCCTGGATTCTTCATAATATCAACTACATAGATTGACAAAAATACTATAAAATCCCAAAGTAAATATTTAATTTATACCATAAAATAGAAGATAAACTATACAAAAATAATAAACGATTTAGGAAGGTACAAACATATAAAACGATGTAATGTTATAATATAGCTATTATTATTTAAACTACGCAATTTGCAAAAGAAAATCGTACAAATTTTATTTTTTGTATTTATAGAATTAGTTTTTAGTATCGATTTTGTATAGAAACAAACTACAAATATATGAATTTTTACTTCTTTAATCATATAAACATATTAAGTTTTTATCAATATTAATGAAATACAATAGTTAGTTTTCAAAAAATGAGGAGATATCTCTGCAGAAGATCTACATCGTCAACTTTCGTCTAATATATTATTTTATATAAAATAATATAACAATATAATTTTAGTTTTTGAGAGAGAGAGAGAGATATATATATATATATAAACATATTTCAACTTTTTTAAACAAAAACAAAGTTGGATTTGTTCAAAAAAATTTTTAAGCAAACGACCTATTATAACTGCTTTGAGCAAAACATACAGTAACACATGTACAGAAAATATGTAGAATATATCTGACAATGTACATAAAACAGCAAAAACAAAATATGAATGAATAGTGTCCCTTAATGTTCAATTTTCTAAAAATCCAAGACATAAGTATACATACATTTAGCAAAAAATTGTTTTAAAACTTTTAAGAAACTCTGTAGTTTGACGACCTTATTCAAAACATTAACAGGAATCAATTTTCATGTGTATCGAAATAATAGATTTGTCAGTATATCTACCTTTTCTACTTTGTTGTGCAGTTTCTGTAAAACATCCTCGCATCGCTGCAGCGTCTCGATCTTCAACCTATTTCGTCAATAATATTCTAATTAATATAAACTATAGAAATCAAAGCCTTAAACAGTCTAGCTGGATCTTAATGCTTCTATGATTCTTATGTGAATTTATATACTACGTGTGTAGTCCCCAGAAACGCGCGCCGAAATGAATTGTCAGTCTTGAAACGCTAACTCTATTAAACTACCGCGAGTTAAATTGATTAGCAATTTGACAAATTTTTTATGCTTATTCGCATCTTCGAAACGATCTTAATAATGTTAAATGACATATTAAATTCTAATTAATAATCGAACAGCTGAAACAATATTTTTAATAAATCACTTTTTACTAATGAATTCGTACGCTCAGATGTATAATTTAACAAGAGAACCAACTGACTCTTTCAAATTTTAATAAGTTTTGGATATGTTAAAATGTAGACAAAAATAAAAGATACGTTTTTTTATACGTGCTGAGTCGCACATTAAGAAAGTAAAAATTTCCTTTGAATAAAATCGGTTTTTAAGAGTAAACATCATCAAAATTATGATAGATAGAAAAAATGTTTTAAATAAAAGTTGAATGATTTCAAGAGTATTTTATAATTAAATAAATATTTTCAAACAATATTAAGAATCTTTATTTTAGACCGCATATGTGAGAAACACAATCAATACTAGAAATTTAAAGCCGGTCTGTGAGAATATGTTGAATTATTTAAAGCAATGAAGATCCAGCTTCGATCGTAATAGGCATTTAAATTTCTAGTATTGAAATATTTTCTATTTTTTTTTATAAAATAAAAGATATGTTTTTTCTTTATATGCATTGAGTCGCATGTTAGAGATAAAAATCTCCCTTGAAAAAAATTGGTTTTTTCTTTCAGAGTAAATATCATCGAAACTATAAGAGAAAAAAAATGCTTTAAATAAAACTTGAATGGTTTCACAAGAGAATACTGTATAATAATTATAAAAAATGTATTCAAATAAAAAAATGTGTTTAATTTTTCGAAGTCATCTTATTTACACAAATGTTTTATAATCATTATAAAGTATTTGTAAAATCAAACTTCTATTTAAAACATTTTTTCTATCTCGCATAGTTTCGATATTCATTCTAAGAGAAAAGAAACCGATTTTTTTTTCAAGATTTTCATTTAACATGCTATTTAGCAGGTATAAAAAAATATATCTCTTGTTTTTATCTATATTTTAACATTCAAAGCTTATTAAAATCGGAAGTCAGTTGATTCTGTGTTCCTTTGTAAGTCATCTAATATGAATTTCCATTCAACATACTTTCGCCTGCTATTTGATAGAATTCCGTGCAGACTCTCCATTTTCTGCAGTTGTATTTCCCTTGTTCGACTGTCCTTGTCTTTAACTGAGTTCAGTCTCTCGATCATCGCTTCCAGGAATGGAATGTACTTTTGCATCTCTGCGAACTTTTTGTCGTATTCGTCCATCTTGTTCCTTGCTTTCGGTATATCTGTGTTCAGATAAAAAAAAATACGTCGCTCTTTTATAACAGTGTACAATTACCGTTGTATTTTTTTATTCGTCTGTATATCCGTTAGACGAAATCAATCGAATGCTCGCTTTCCCGAAACTCCTGTTTTTATTTCTATTTATTTCTATTCATGATGTATACAAGGTGTTTCATTGTGCATGATGATGGTGGGGTAGAATTTGGAACAGCTAATCAAAATTTAGCCCCAAATAATCCGTCTACTCAAATACGGCGCGGCTGCGCAACACAATGGGTGCATTCCGATATTTACTGCCAGTGTCGAAAATCTATAGCGCACGTAACATATACTGTATAGTTTCACAGTGAATATAGGAACGTACCTATTATCATCGTGGCAACATAATATAACTTAAATTTAATCTATCGTTGATTATAGATTGCTTTTTGCATTTGTGGCAACTCTCTGATTGGTCAACACTGCGCATCTCGGGAGCGAAACACCTTGTATTCTTACATCATGTTTCCATTCACAAGAAATATCTATTCGGAATCGAATTTTAGATATTTCTAATATGTGTGCGATATATCTGCGCGCAAAAGCCAATGGGAAAAGTTAAGCATTATGTCCACGATGCTAGAAATCGGTCCGAGATCTTGGATGAAGAAAGAATTGACAAATCGCGTCATATATTGATCATGTGATCAAATTGTTCAAATGTGATTTGTTAATTCTTTTTCTGTCCGAAATCTCGAACCGATTTTCTAGTATCGTGAATACAAAATGAAAAAGTTCCGAGATATACAAGTAATATGTCATATTAAAGGACTACTTAAGTAGAGTCGAGTGATATATCGCTTATTTTGGAAAAACATCGGGAACGTGGCAGAAATCGTTATCAAAGACAATAAAATAAAAAATTGTTAAATAAAATATTTCGCGAATTAAACAAAAACTATATTTAAAAAAAAACTGTATTTATTTTGTATCAGATTCTTTGTCGTACGTCGCGTGAAAATTCTCCTCTAAATTATACGTGTTTAGGCAACAAAATATTTGTTGATTAATTTCCGGGATATTTTGATGTCTTAGTTAACAATTTTCTTTATTAATAAATGTGATAACATTAGTTTTATTGACTTTTCATCATGATGCCTCTCATGTTCCCGATGTTTCCCCAAAATAAGCGATACATCACTAGACTCTGCTTAAGTAGTTCTTTAATGTAACATATAATTTGTATATCTCGGAACTTTTTCATTTTGGCCGAAAAACAGCCCTAACTTAACATCATTTCTTAAAAGTCACTGAAAAACAAATACGTCACCATCTCAATATTTCACATGCACGCATCGGTTCTCGTAAACGCGCGAGATAAAAAAATTTTTTCTATATCGCCAAGCGGAATCTTACGCCTAATAATAATTTTTGTAAATTTTATACATTTCGTGAATGCACTTACGTCGAAATAATTGTTATTGTAACAGCGCGTGAAATTTGAACTATTGTCGCTTGCACGCGCGCGCGCGGACGAGAGCGCGACATGGTTGAGTGATTTCGCTATTAATTATTTATCTTCATTTGTCAAATGTAATGAAGTATATTCTTTCATAAGCAAAGCTTTAAAAAGGCATTTAAAATATTTTTATCGGCAATCTCATAATCTTTTGCGAACGGTCCTGAATAATAACTTCACTTTCAAAAGAGACGTTCGATAAATGCTTTGAATGCCGTTTGCTTTATTCCGATTCCTCGGTAAGTCGGCAGATATCTCAGATTGCGCACGTAAACACACAAGCCTCTTACTTTCCACCGATTAACGCCATTACGTTAATCCGTCTACTTATCATAGAACAACGCAGCATAATGCTCGAACGTCGTTTATGAATGCTAGATGCGCCGCAATTTGCTCACAATCATCATCGAAGCAGCAATTAAGGGTACAATTCATAACTCTGTTTTCATTTTCAAAAAGGAGATTTGGATCTTTCGTTGAATCAATGTACCGATTAAATTGAAAGTGCGATTGATGAATATTATATATCGTAGAAATGCATCACTGTTAATATAGATCACAACCCCCAATTGTGCGAGGCCATTGTAGCATCGTTCACGCTGCCGCGCGTTCGTTCGTTAGATGAATATAAATATAAATATATATATTGCGTGGCGATCAGGCCATACATTCAATTTCTTTCTTTTTCTCTTTCTCTTCCCCAAGTTCCACTTTCCGTAGGATAACGGAGCGAAAACCGCACGACAAACGCGCAAATATCACTCCTTGTCCAATGCGGGCGTCCGTTTCACTCAAATTTTTGTAAAACTTCTCCGACGTTCACAAAGAGTTGAAATGCCGGGAACGTCCTTCGGCAAGCGTTCAATCTTCGTCAAAGGGACTGAATGACGATGCCCCGCACTTCAACCGCGTACACCTTACTGACGATCGATTATTTTCCAACGATTCTGTACGCTTTGTCACCGCCGCTGTTCGCATTGTATACAGGGTGAACCATAACGCACTACATTGAATACTTTTATAAAATAAAATAATTTGGTCGAATTCAACTCTGTAACACTGCTTTATAAAAATATTCTCAATTTGTGAGACTGGCAACTCCTAGTTTTTATTAGGATAAACATCGTGTATTCATTGTGTGATTTAAACCAAGTAATCGCAATTGATTTCGCGAACAAGCACGAATCTCTAATTGGTTATTCAGTTATATGATTATAACGTCCAAAAAATCACATGATTTTGAAAAGAAAACGTTATCATGTGTACAATACTTTACACGTTTATTACACGATACATCCGGAACACCATGTATATCAATATACGCAGTCGCAATAAACGTACGCACGTAAGTGATATCCCTAGTTTTCGCTGTAATAAACGTAAAAACTTTTCCACTAAAGCTATAGCTAATCATGATGATGCTACAGGTGTAAGAGATGGATATTGATCCATCAACCCCTTTCACGCACAATACTGGAGCGTCTATTTGCCACATAAAAGTAATATTTTCGGTGTTTTAAAAACACCTTTCCCTTAGATAACCGCTATATTGTTAATTTATAAAATTAAAACCTTTTTTTTTTTAAGATATATTTGTAGATTTACGGTATTATCGTATAATTTTCTTACATGTATTTATAGATTTAAGATATATCACCGTAAATCTATAAATACATCTAAGGAAATTGTTTTAATTTTACAAATTAATTGTAGCCAGTTAAAAATATATTTATAGCGAATGATATATGTTAGAATAAAATGTAATCCGAAAAGATTATCATTTAATTCGAATAATACGTGAACAGCGTATGGTTCAATTCGAAAAGAAATGATTTGTGAATGTGGCTTAAGAAGAAAAATTATAAGTATTTCTTGCAAGCGTGGCGTATCGCTATAAATCGCTGTTTAAGCAAAAATAGAAAAAACATTATTGCTTTACCAAGCAACATTTATGCACGATATACCAAATGCATAATCATAAGGACAAATTATAAAGTAAATATATATATATATATACGCGCTAGAGCGCATGCACAGGTACATACACCGCGCGCGCGCGCACATATTCCTCAATATGATCATTCAGACTTTTAAAAATTTGCTTAAAATACACAATTACAATTATTTTTTTTTTTGTTAAAATAAAATCTTTTGTAATATTTTATACATGTCTGGATTTAAGTTTCGCAAAGTTTAAATTTCAGACTTTTATACAAAACGTTAAAATATGCTTTTATATCAAACGCTTTTTTATAAAAACACTTAGGAAGCCTTCTTGTGCATCATGAGTAAATAAATAGCAATATTGCGGCAATATATATCTTCTTTACAAACGTGTATTCAAACACAGATATTGCGCCCATATTAATTTGTGCCAATGGGATATTATGCATGAGTGGGCTGCATAATATATACCGGAATCATCAAAGTTAAATTTGTATTAAATGTATGTGCCATTGCACAAAATATTGCTATTTGATTCTTCCAATGTATGTGTTGCTAGGAATGCTCTTTAGTAATTACTATTAGTAATATATTTCAGAAAATATGAATTTCCATTTTCCTTTTCATCTTGAACAAATCTTCAATGTGAAATTTAATTTCATACACTGTGTGCCAAGATAATAAATCTTGAAACTTAAAAAGTCATATAAAATGACGCCGCATTGCACTTCCATTATTTATAAAACTTGTGTATCCACCATGTAGTTAGAAAAATACAGTTTTCACTATTTTGCACAATCTTTTGTGACAAACGCACGCACGTACAACTTTTCTTTAAAAAAAATTCACATCACAGCACATAAATTTATTAATATAAGATGAACATATGATACTATCACATATTTAAAATAAGTATAGTTATTAAGTAAAAGGCCAAATTTAAAATTATCTTATAATACCTAATATATGTTACAGAGTTTTATCATACTTCAGGAATCTTCCAAAAATTATTCAATGTGCACTGCATATGTAAAGGACTATTTACAGACCTACAAGTCCCTTCTTCACTCTCTTGCTCCTCTTTCCTTAATCTTTTGTTTCCTCTCCACTCCACCCTGAGCTGAGAAGATGAAAAAAAAAGAGAAAAAAATTGAAGAGGCAAAAAGTGAGGAAAGGACTGGTGGATGCGAATACCTATATTCTGTGCACTAATATTTCCAGGCGAAACGAACAGATAAGACGCCATATTTGATTTTGGCGAAAATCTCTGCAGTCGACAAAGATCGTAATAAAATCGTGATATTTCTATTCAGACTGAAAATATCAAAGCAAGATGCCAGTTGTCGAAATCATTCATCAGAAGCCAGAAATATTTAAAGTTGAGATAAGTAGATTTGAATCATATTCCAAGTTGTAGACGAGTTTTAATTTTGATAACCTCTAGGAACACTTCCTCGAAACAATTGAAACGAAAATGTGATCTTCACCCCGTTGGAAGTAGAGCACGTAAAATCAATCCATATGAATCAACTATAGGTCACATCCATATATTCACTTTATTCAGACATTACTAATAGGCGAATAAAATATTCACATACGTACCATAATATTATTCTGAAGAGTCTATCAAAATGTCTTTAATGGATGTCCACAATCAGTTGTAGGCACTTTATCCAAAACATTTTCTATCAAATTATCCTCGCTGCATATTACTATGCGCCTCAACGTGCACAGTTTCGAAGAAATGGAGAGACAGAAGCCAAATGGAAGCCTTCCTTATGGTTTAACGCTACCAGTAGGTGGCGTAAGTTTCTATCATGGGGGCGCCACTTGATTTAGAAAATTCAGGTTTTCTGAACAACCGAAAGTTTTCGTGAATTTTTCATAAAAAAGGTAATTGCCATTATTATCGCGTGATTATCCAAAAATTCAGATAGATACGTCGTTAGATTCTTTCGAAACTCGAGAATATTTTAAGTGAATCTTAACAAAGCATCACGATGCCTAAGATGGCGTCAACGTCATGACAAAGGCTTTGGATCGTTCGTTGCGACCAAGGTGGTAAGAAGACCGAAAAGCTATTACAAAGAATCTAGAAATTCGACAAGCTCAAAAATATTCTGAGGAATATAACAGCAAGATACAAAATCAATTTTAATATTAATCTAAAATTTAATAACAAATATTAGAAGTTTTATATTTAATTAACACATATGTATATCATTACACACACAATTTCTATCAAATCATGCTATTGGAATAATTATTTAAAATAACGACAAAATTATATGTACAGAAAATTTTGTCCACAAATTCATTTTTTACGATGCTCGTTTCCTCAACGCTACAAAAAATAACAAGCTTTTTGAAAATCTCAAAATTTTGTCGAATCTTCCAAAAATACAATGTTTGTTGTAAATTATTTGTCACGCCCATAAAAATAATTATAGTCGATAACACGTCACTCGTTACGTTACGTAAACCACGTCAACGGCGAATAAAATTTCTATACCTATGAATTGCGAAGAAAGCCTTTCTCTCTGTCCCTCGCTTTTTTCGCGTTGTATAAAATTCTTCGACGATGCACAATAAACCACAATAGAGCACAAGCAAAAGACAACGTTGTCTCTCCTACGAGAATGTTACAGAGCTGAAAGCCTCTCGCGTTAGAAGTACGAGCTACGAGTCAAAGTCACGCCGCATAATGGCGACTGCATTTGAGATTTGCTGCTAGGCAAATGAACAGTGGGATCGAAAATTATTTCGGAACGTAACATTGTTACACGAGGATCTCGATATTACAACAAATCATGCAACAAAAATGTGAATTAAATTAATGAAAATCTACTTCATATGAAAAAACATTGATTGCATCTCATTGCAATCTCGATGAATAGCAACAAAATGGATTATAACAATCGGCATAATCGCCGTCTGAATACCTAAATTATTAGCAATACAAATTGAAGAAAAAACGATAGTGGTATATAAACGAAGAACAATAGAAACCAACGCGATCCGACGCGATTTGACGTCAAATCTTATAGTCACTGCCTTCGAGAAAAGAAAAGGAAGAAAAAGAAACACCTAAAAGAAAAAATAAGAGACGATTTTACTATTTGCGCACCTGATATACCATCACCCTTGAAAGCCGATAGCCGACAATGCGTCGATTATCTCCCTGTTTCTCGATACGATCCTGCGTCCGGAATGTTCCAGCCCTCTGTCTTTCTTTCTCTCCCTGCTCCCGCTCCCGCTCCCGCTCCCGCAACGAACGTATAACGAACGTTTCATCGACACGGCTCCCTCCCCGCTGCCGTACCAACATACACAAAAGCAACACCAGGCGCAATATCAGCAGTTACGTCGGTACTGGGATCTACTAGGCGAGACATTTCCTTCTTTCGTGGTTTCTTGCAGCGCTCTCTATAGCTGTTTGCAACGCCGGTACGGAGAACTAGAGCACCGACGAAGACGAGCAACTCCGGAGTTTCGGTGTTAACTCGTGCCAACGCCCAGACACTCGGCCAGTCGTAACCGTCGCAACTGCGCTCCTCCAACCTCCGGCATTGTAGAAGGCGAAAGCGAGTCCAGCTGCTAATGCTGCTATCCAGCAGTAACAGTCACGGCCAGCAGAATTGTTCACTTTACAATCTGTGTATTCCTTTTGTGTACCGTGATTTACCCGAAAATAAGAAAGAACAATCCAAATCCGCTTCCTTTCAATATAGCGTTCTCGCTCTGTTTACCCACCTTACTGATCTATACAGATCTATTTTATTAAGCAGAGCCATACATCATACGTATTTTTGCGTATTTTCAGAACAAAGAGGAGTCGCCACTCGCGACGTTTTTGCCAGCACGAATAACACGTGCCTCTGCCGGCGTCCCCTTTGTCTCCTCGTTCGACGAAAACGAGGCGATATTTCTTTTTCTTCCTATTTCAGGTATCTGAGATTTTCACGTACAAAAATTCCCCAACAGATTTTATCCCTAGAGGAAAAATTGAAGAAAGCTCTCAAGTATGCGACACAAATTCCTATCGATTTGCATCGCGAGGTTAATGCGACGATTTCTTGCGCACATCTGATCATCTGCCGAGGTTTCATTGATATTTCGCTTGGAACGTCTCGCTCCTCTCTACCTGGGCCGTTCGCTTCGAAAAATTGCCGTTGCTCATGTTTCATATGTTAACGAGAACCAAACACTACATACACAAACATACATACATATTCAGGCGCTAACGTACGATTATTTTTGCGATCCGGTGACGGAAAAAAAAAAGTGAAAAATATATCGTTTTATATGCTCTTTCAGCTGACCTGACGATCGTTCTTAGCGATTCAAGCGCTAAACGACGACAAGACAAGCATCCTGAGCCATTTTATCGCGCAACAAAATATTGCGTCTATTTACCGTTACGTGAATTGTGCAGAAACGAGTCCCGGCAATTCACCAGATGCAACTATTCAGATACCCCTCCTTCGAATAACCTGCTTCGGGCTAGATGAATCGCTGATCGTCAGTCGTCCCTCGGCCAACTCAGCCTACCTCAGCCGCATGAATCATCCGATCGACCACTTGCAACTCGTTTCGGTATATCTATCGGAGGACGAGCATCCGAGCTAGCTTGGCAGCCACCACGTTGGGACAATTCAGAACAATTATTGTCTACGATTGTTCCACGTCGTCCATCTGCAGCATGTTCCATCGATTCGGAACTCTCGGATTAGAGTACCCGGGTAAAGGAAACAAGTTAGTACGAGCAACGTAGCGACGTTATCGTGCCACCTCACTTGACTACGAGGCGAGACGCCGAGCGAAACAAATTATTTAGGCTGCAGTCTAATCGCAGTTCCGACCTTGGCGCGACGCTGCTGCACGTAACGTAGCGTTTCTCGAAGATTCGTGGATTACGTCACCAGGGCCATCCTGCCGGAACGTTCGCGATACCCACGGCTTAATCGTTAATCCCGCGATCTATGTAGTTTATTGGTTTGGATTCCGCATCGCCAAAGGTTCTCCCTTCGTCTCTCACGATGATCTGACGTCACGATGGACACTTTCGACGAAAGAGGGGCGCCACGACGGACGACGCCAAGGACCGGTAGTAGCAGTATTGGCATGGAGCACTGCGATGTGTTATGGACGATTCATCATTATTATACATATACATATGCCTTATATATATGTGTGTATATGTATACACGCAACTCGGAAAAACGTACAACGCACCACGAGGAAAATTGTCTGTCCGTCTCTTTCTCCTTTCCTCTCTCAATTGCAGTCGGGCTTTCCTTTCGTCTGAACACGAGGCTATTATTTCCGAAATATCCCTTCTCCACCTTTTCTCTCTTCCGTCCCCTACTCTCTCCTCTTTTTTGTGTATACCAATCAGGATCAACGCGACAGCTAATCGCGCACAATCTAAACGATCTAATTGCGACGGACGCGAAGGGCGAGTGATGCTTTGTGAAATGGCGCTGTGGCGAGTTTCTACCTCTCATACTGTCATCTCGGCGGGAACCCTTCAATCGTCGCTTCGCTGTGCCGCGAGATTCCCCGACCCACGTATGTCGCGGACACTACGATTGATTTTTACTTACATGTGAATAACTCCCTCCCACGTTAGCTTGCCCTCGATCATTGTTACATTCCCGGTAGTAAAACCATGTGACTCGTTATGATTCGATTTTATTTATATATTCGGGAAATCGTGCGAGCGTCAGACTAAGCCCATTCTTTTTGGCTCAACTTCTTACACGGTTCGTCTCTCGTCTTTTTCTCTCCACGTTGGAGAAAGAAGACGGACATGCACAAAACGTTCAGGTAGTAAAAACAAGCCATAGGTCTTTCTTATTCACTTTATATCTCGTATTTCTCGATATTTAGCAACTACGATTTTCAAAAAAAAGGCAGAAAGATTGAGAAAGAGGATTCGATAGGATCTCTCGGAATAAAGAAATTACAGAATCCACGAGCGATCTGATCTACGAGCCAATAATTAGTAGTCACAACGTCTCGGATGTTATAACTCGCAGTACAGACGCATGAACTAGTAGCTAAACGAGTAGATCGGTAGACCTCTATACCATTTCATAATATAACATGGCTGCGGCGTCTGGATTCTGGGTGACACAAGCAAGGGAGAGTAGGAGAAATAGAGGAAATGATCCCTGACGCTCGAGGCTTATAGGTGAAGCAGTATTCTGGGCTCGAGATATCCGAGGCTCAACTAGGCTCGACGACCCACGACTCAGCTCCACTAAAAATATAATGCATATAAGAAATCATATTTTTCGCTCATTCTCGCTTTTCGCGAGCGATACTCAAATACGAACTGCAAATTAGCTCTCAGATTCGGTCGCTTTAAAATTTTAAATCGAAATTTCAAACGTTCTAACGAATCGCTGAATTCGAAGTCTCTTAATTGCCAGAGAATTCGTTGAGAGATTCTTATTCCGTCATTCGCACACGTCATTTCGCACTTTGATCGCGAGCGATCCAAAACACTATGTATTTTCAAATCAGTCGGGACTCGGAGAAGGCAAGATGCGGATTGCGGAGTGAAAAATCAAAGTTAGATATAGGAAAAGCAAGGAAAATAATACTTCGGTTCCCGAGCGAGCCACACCTCCTCCAAAGAGCTCCGCCATCTTTTATTTTACACCTGTAACACCGTGTGCGCCCTCTAGCGCGTAAACGTAGATACTTGAGAATATCCGATTGCTTGCATGGTATAAGAATATAAAGCCCATTCTACAATTGCGTAAGCGTAGTTGTAAGTGATGTAGTTGTAAGAATTAACCAATCACAGTCAAATATGAGGAAAATATTTGATCGCGATTAGTCAATTCTTACTAGGCTTTCTACAATAAGTCATTACCTAAACATAAACTTAAGCTATAGCTTACTGTAGAAAGCCCACAACTACAATCACTTACAACTACGCTTACGCAATTGTAGAATAGGCATAAGATTCCATTTCTAAGGATGCGCCAGCAGTTTTGAACATTTCGACTGCTCTTTGACCAATCAAAACATTGTCCCAATTACAAAAACTGAAATGATGGCTACCATGTGCATTCACTTCTGGGGCAAACATTTGATTGGTTACTTCTAATTTAGTGTGCCGCCATTAAGATTTCATTCCCTACTATTTGAGTACTATATCATATTATAGTTTAAAAAAATACTTTATCTAATATTGTTGTGTAATATTTAATGTACATTTATTTCTATTCCTAATATTTTTTCCATTTTGCACAGAACCTAAAACTGGTCGGCGAATCATGTACAATTAAATTACTTAAAAATTTTAAAGAAGCGTCTGGCAGATACCAGACATTTTTAAAACATGCTGATTCCACAATGAGTTAGTAGTCCTAATTACTACAGATTTTTATTGTAGAATCAGCTTTTAATCTAATCAGTCTAATCTGTTTGCGTTACTCAAATTTCAAAAAATTTTTACACTCAAAAAATGAGATAAATAATTTGGGTGTTGAAGAGAAAGAAAGTAAATATATTAAATGCAAAAAGTGCAAGCAATAGACCTATTATATTAACTCATAAATGAATCAAGTAACTCACTCAATCAGTCCATATCAAATATTAAATGATTCAAATGAGATAGAATAATTTCGGCAAGAAGAATGGCGTGACGAGGATAATAATTACAATTCCTTATATTTATTTGTGACATTTCTTTCTCGACTTCACGTAATATAATATATTTAGTAACTTTATTTACAAGTCATCGACCCACAGTGCATAGACTAAATGTACTTTAGCGTTTGCTCGGGAATCGATTTATTTACAAAAACGTGTTTTCGAGTTACGGAACAATTTTTAAGTCCGCAAATGTAATCGGACAAGTGTCTCATTCGCAAATATGTTCCATGAAAGCGGAAGTGTAATCGCTGCAATTACGTCTTATAAAAAGATCGAATGAATGTCCCCTTGCGCATCTCATAATTTCACTGCTTCTGTTCTTTCACCAAATATTGGTAAACTGGCTTCGTCGTCATCCAAGAAACGCGAAGCTAAATGTAAATATGATACGCTGCTGAAAACGTAGCAATACTTTGTCTCGAGAGAATAGAAATCGCTACCACCAAGCCGGCAAACATTATATTCGACGAAGAAACGCGAGGTCCCATAAATCTTTATGTAACGCTAGAACATCAGCTTTATCAAGTTCTTTATCGTCCTCATATAACTCGTAAAAATAAAAATTTAACATTTTTTAAATAATAAAATAAAATTGCAAATCAGACCAGATGTAGAACAATGAAAAGTTATAATGGCGATTTTGAATCATAGTTATCATTCAAAATCGGTACGAGACGTCTCGGTCGTTCTAATGTTAGAACATCTTCCAACATTAAGAATCTGGTTAAAATTTGTTTACTGAGCTTTGCCTGCTTCTATTAACACATACGCTGCCCATCTAAAAGGACATCACCTATGGAAGTCAGTTTCACAAATTTATTTAAATTATTTACCGTCTGCAAAAAAAAAACTAAATTCAAAAAATGCGAATCCAAACGAATAATACAAAACAATATCTCCATGTAAATGCCTACATAACTGTACAGTTTCACATTTAAAGCTCAAGTGATTTGCTCGCTTCAACTAAACATAGATCCATCATGCACTAGCGTGTGACTTTCAGATGGGCAGCGAATGTATTAAAAAATCAATTTTTACACATAATACACGCTTTTTGTCTATATATTCGGTACCTCGCGCTTCTTTTATCATGTATAGCAAAATAACGTTAGCATAGCAATCGGAAATTCTAATCTCTCTCCTTTTGAAGATACTTGCATTCAGATACCATGGTTGAATGACTTTTAAATTCTTTTTACCCTTCATTCTAATGTACTTTGTACATTCGTGGACGCTTGAAGTAAACCTACGGTGATAAATCGGTCCAAGATACAGTCTGAAAGATCGTCTTATATTCGTCGATACATTCGCCAGATGAGAAAATACTCGATAAACGAAAATGCTACAAAAATGATTCTTATTTCTCTTTCTTTTTCTCTCCGTCGTAAGCATACAAGTATCGTTTGTACCATATAATTCCCTCGATCTTACGAACGCGACGAGTACATTTAGCATAACGTTAGAGTCCCATGAGCAATTTTGCATTTTTCGAAATTTCACAAATTTTAAAATTCGTGAATGTCATTGCAAATAGCTAATGTACCATGTTCGTAATCGTCATCTATGTGCAAATTACTTTCGCGAGAGATATTTTCTCTCTCTCTCTCTCTCTCTCTCTCAATTCCCATATTATATTATTATAACGTATATATATATAAAATATGTGTTCTACATATCTCATATATATTTCATTATATTAAATATAATATAAATATTTATATGTGTTTATATATATCTAGTTGATATATGTAGATAATTCACATATTAATATATCAGTTAAGAATCTAGTCGATTGTTGAAGTAAATAAGTGTTACAAATAGAACTTATATATATATGTGTGTGTGTGTGTGTGTGTGTGTGTGTGTGTGTGTGTGTGTGTGTGTGTTAAAGATGAGCTGTATCTTTTATAAAATATTGTCATATTATAAAGAATATTTTTTACATATCGGATAACAAACGTACAAGAGACTATTTATCTCTTGCATTTATATAAATAAAATATTCAGACAGCCAGATCCAGTAGCGAAAATAAACGTGTGAATGCGGATTAATGTGCCACTGACGCAAATAATATTTACGCTATACCTAACATATAATATTATGAGCACACATAAAAATCAAAATTATAATGCTTATAGTCTACTATTAGGACGTTTTTCGTAATTACATGTATTACGCAAACCTGAGTTTATAATTTCATTTACAAGCACAAAATAATTATGAAAATTAACTTTATGTATTTTCCTCCTGAGATTTGAAACATGTAAATTTACTTCGTGTTCCTTATACAACTCCCCATACAATTACATACGCAATCATATGCAATAAAGTAAATTATGAATGTAATCAATGTTTAAAAATTAGACTAGGTAACTCGTTTATGTAATGTCAAGCAATAAAAGATAAAAATAAATATTTTTTTATATAAAATTCTAATATTTTGTTCGTTTTTTTATGCGAATATTTTTTTTTATACAAATTTTGTTTCTTAAGCTGTAATTTTTTAAGGTATGAAAACAGTTTATATAGTTCATTGCGTACTCAACGAACTATAAAAAAAAAAGGAAAAATGCAATTATTCGCGCATGAGACTCTAATGTATAGTTAAATAGTAAACAATATTATCTCTTTTCGAAATGTAAGATGAGATAAACTTTTTACAGAAGTCATCGTTTTAAAGCTGGTCCGATATACATATATATCCTTTTTGTGTAATTACATAGAAATTATATAATCTTGAGATGAATAATTAAATCGAAAGCAACGATATTATTAATGTCGATCGAAATTCTCAAAGTTATTTCGTTCAATTTGATCCTTTATTAACTGATGGAATGTTTCTCATTTTCTTTAATTAATTCAACGAACGATTCTTCTATGTATCTTCCGAGCTTTTTTTTATTAAGAAACAGTTCGTTCTATATATCACTTTCGATCGTGACAATAACTTCGCACTCTCACGCGCTCTTCTACACACGAGAAATATATATTATATATTTATTTTTATAATATGTTTGACTTGTGATGCCACATACTCATTTTATTTCGTACGCTTTTCGTGTTAATAAGATCGC